TCTAAGTGTCTTTCAGAGAGGCTGTCAGGTGAGAGGACCTGGCTGCCAGGTGGGAACAAGCATGATTTAGACAAGGGACTGCTTCTGGAGGAAATAGAAGCCCAGACCAAGAGCAAACGTGTCTGTCTTTCAGGAATTAGTCGAGGCAAGGATGTGTGTCCAAACAAGGCTCTAAGAGCTGAGTGGGAGACATATGGCAAAGACAAGCAGAGTAGCATAAATTGGGTCCAGGAGAGGCATGGTCAGTTCTTTTTTTTTTTTTTTTTTTAAAGATTCATTTATTTATTTGAGAGAACGAGAATGAGAGAGAGTACATGAGAGGGGGGAGGGTCAGAGGGAGAAGCAGGCTCCCCGCTGAGCAGGGAGCCCGACACGGGACTCGATCCCGGGACTCCAGGATCATGACCTGAGCCGAAGGCAGTCGCTCAACCAACTGAGCCACCCAGGCGCCCCGAGGCATGGTCAGTTCTGAGAGGCAGCCTTGCTAGTCAGAGCTAAAGAGCTGTTTGGGTGCCTACCCCCCCCCCCGCCCCCACTGGGAATGTACCTCACCTATTCCTTTGTTGACATTTTACTCATGCTAGAATCTTAATTTACATATAACTTACTTGCAAAGCCTTCCTGAGCCTGGGAAATTTAGACTTGATTGGGGAGAAATTGGCAGACGGTCAGTGCTTCTAAGCAGGGGGATTACATAATGAGATTTGCCAGTTGGCTCCATCATGCTGGCTGCAGTGTGGATGATAGACCAGAAGGGGTCAGAATGGAGGCTTCTGTAGGCAGTGCCAAATCTAGCATCAAACTGGATCTAAATACTCCCTCTATTTGCCCTTGCAAAGATACAGAAACAGAACTTAGTGGACCTGAGGCATTGATGAAAATTCTGTGTCGGCTATCAGCGACTGAGTAATGGCGCTAGGAAATGATCATAGTTAGGTTCCCTAGGGGACAGACACTGAGGCCAACTTGCATGCAAGGCATTTCTGGGGGTGTGCTCAGTGGACAATACCTGTGGGGTAATGACTGATGCATTATAATTATACATCTGTGTGCTTGTTTCCCCACCTAGACTACATCCTCTGTGTAGGCAGGAAGGTGTCTACTCTACCATTGTATCCCTAGTGCCATGTCCAGTGACTGGAACATAATAGGCACCCCAAAATTTTGTTAAATAAATGAATAAAAAGTAGTAAATTTAAAAAAGCCCTAAGTAAGGAGGTAGCAATAAAAAGAGAGAAGAGGGCATTTTTTATATATATTTAGGTGATAAAATCAACAGGTCTTGGTGACTGATTAATTGACTAAACATAAGAATAAGAGTGAGGAAGAGTCTAGAATAACTCCTACATTTCCGCATTTATATGTAGACAGAAGATAGTGCTATTTGGGGAGAGAGAAAATGCAGAAGGAAGTTCAGGTTCGAGTAGAGAGAGAAATAGAGACCGCTCAAGTTTGAGATAGCTATTTGATATCCAAGTGCAAATGTCCAGTAGGCAGGTGAAAATGGGATTTGGAGCTCAAGCAGTAAGCCTGGATTTGGCAATCATTGGTGTATCACCCAGGATATTCCTTATCAATTTACTTCCTGCCAAGAACATCCTGTAGACCCCCATTGGAATCTCTTTCTATTTTGTCCCCATGTTGCCCCCTTCTGCAACTCAGCGGGTGCTTATATTAGTTTGTTGGGGCTGCCATAACAACAGGAATTTATTTCTCATGGTTCTAGGGGCCAGAGTTCAAAGATCAAGGTGTCAACAAGTTTAGTTTCTTCTAAGGATTCTTTCCTTGGCTTGCAGATGCCTCCTCTGCACACACTGCACCTCTGGAGTCTCTCCGTGTGCCCAAATTTCCCCTTCTTATAAGGTCACCAGTAAGATTCAATTAGGGCCCACTCTAATGGCCTCGTTTTAACTTAATCACCTTTTTAAAGGCCTTATCTCCAAATACAGTCACATTCTGAGATGCTATGGGTTAGGACTTCAAAATAAGAGTTTCGCAGATGGACACAGTTCAGCCCAGGAGAGGTCTATATTTCTTCTCATCCTCCTTCCACAGTGCTGCCCCAGAGGCAGCCAGCCCTCACCCTCCAGCAGAGAGCACCAATGTCCAGAGGAGCCTTCCCCTCAAATTCCCACGATTCGGTCTTCAACATGTTATGGAGACAGATGAAAGAGGGGCTGCTTCTGCCAGGGTTGCGGGTGAGGAGGTGGTGGAAAGACTTGTAGGATAAGAGTTCACTGGTTACAAAAGGGAGAAACATTCTAGGCTAAGTGAAGATACCATGATGTTAAACTTCAGAGGACGTCTGGGGACACTTGGATGTAGAGGTTGTAGAGGTTGAATGCGGGGTATGGCAAGAGCTGAAGCAAGAGGGGTTGGCCGAGGTCACGTTTTAAAGCGCTTTCCTGTTGGCATAAAATCAGCCAGTGCTTTATGTGAAGAGACATAAGGAATTAGAGGCTGCTCTGATCACTCAGGCAGGAAACAATGCAATTACTTGTAAAAGGCTGGAAGGTTGGAGGATGATGTCGAGGCAAAGAGCTGGTGGGGGTGGGGGCTAGAGTGGGGAAAGAATACAAAGGGGAAAATATGGGGGAAAGGAAAGGAGAAGGGGAAAACAGGAAGCATCTTGGTCGGATCTAAATACTGAATTCTAGTATCCCAGCTGGTATTCCGTCTAGTTAATTCTCCCTCCTCAAGAAGGCAGGGTCCCCGGATGGGCAAGCACTTCTCTGTGAGGTGGAGGATACAGGGGCCAGAGGAGGTTCTAGAAATCAGGGAGTCCGTCCATATAGAGGGACAGCAGCACAAGCACCACCTGTGATGAAGGTGGCAAAGGATTCCAAGAGGAGCTGGCAAGCTGGCTGAGATCAGCCTCAGCGGGCTGGCCGGGCTGGGCACTGACAGGTCTGGTTCTGACTAGTCATCGAGGGCAGTCAGCTCAGGACTGGGCCTACAGATCAAGACTAGTGACCTGGATCCAACCACACTGAGGACACAGTGGTGGCTGTCAAGGGTTTAAGTTTCCTCTCTTAGGATACAGGGCAGAAAAGCAGAAGGATCAGACACTTGCAGAGAAAAGCAGGCTGTCACTGTGCTTGGTCACTGTCCTCATAGTGAGCTTATGGCAGTGATCAAGGCCAGAGATTAAATGTTAAGAAGACAAAAGAGCCAAGCAAATGATTTTATTCCAACTGCAGGCCAAGGTGCACCAAGCCATTTTTGCTTTCCATTGAGTAAGGCCTGCTCTGAGTGAGGATGGCCACAGTTGGCCACTGAATGTCAGTCAGATCTGGGATTATCTCCAAAGGGAGCTTAATCTTTCTTTATGAGACCTCTGGCCACAGGAACACGAGGGTTTCCACGCTGGGTCTGCCCCATGGCTCATCAATCCTGATGGGCTCAGGGAGCCAGCTGTGGGCTTTGCTGCCTGTGGGATCCTAAGAGTTAAGCTCTCCAACTAAGACCGGGGGTGGGCAATTAGCGTGGAGAGGCCAGTGCCTATGAAGCTGGTGACTGAAGAGAGATTGGTGTAGGCCTGAATCAGGGGCGGGCAAGTAAGTGGCTCCCAGACGGGAATGAAGGGCTCAGGCCAAGCTCACCGCGGAGACATCAGGGCGACAGCCACGCTGGGCACAGCCCGAGGACTTCACCCTACAGCCATGGCCTCCCACTGCCTTCTCACCTACTCACTGTAATTCCTTAGACTTCCTTAGTCTTGAATGTGTACTTCATTGTGAAAATAATGTAAGCATGCTACAGAAAACTGAGAAAATGATTTCCCACAACACGCCCCCCCGCCCCGCAAAAGTTAGTTGTGCTACAATCAGAGTTTTACCTCCGCTGGACCTTATCCATCTGAGTTCACAGTCTCAAGGTTAGGACTTGAGGCATTCATGAATAAAATCAACCAGAGCTCCTTTAGCTTAAGAGTTGGTTCCAAGGTGCCGGGCGCAAGAAGTTTCTGAAAGAGCATTCTCACTCGGGGAAGGAGGCTGAGTCGGGCAGTATTGTTTCTGAGGATTTGAGAGGAGGGGTCAGCCGAAGTTCACCTCCTTTGGGGAATGGTTCAAAGACGGTTATTGGAAATAGGAGGAATTAACCTTTGGGATGAGGAGTCACTGTTTGCAACCTTACCAGGGGTCAGGGGAGGAAGAGTTAGGGGCCAAGGTCATGTGGAAGACAGGTAGAGAGGAATATCTATCTAATGGAGACAGGGACTTGCAAATGCACCCTGGAAAATTCTGTCTTTTAGTGTCTCTTGCAGGGACCAAATGCAACCCAGATCTTCTGACTCCTGGCCAGAGTTCTTCCCATGTCTCATAGATGCCTCAACCTTCCCCACTTTGGTAGATGATTGAGAAAGAACCGTGGGTATTCTGGACCCACCCATGGAAGGAGAGATTGAGGTCATTAAAGGCCTGGACAGCAAAAGCAAAAAAAAAAAAAGAAGGACGATTTTACCACTTTGCCCTAGGGACGTGATACATCTTCAGCGGGACCAGGGCCTGCAGGAATTATGTCCTATGAATTGCTGGCCTGTAGCTACAGGAAGAGGATTCTGCTTCTAGAAACTGAGAAAGCTCAAGGACTTCCTTACAAAAGGAGTTCCATGTCCTGATGGCTTGGCTCTGGAAGCATGGCTGGATAGATAGCCATTGTTGTGCTCCTTAATACAATTCCTCTGAGCTCCATCCTCCGCTTTTTCAGCTATCAGCCCTGGGGCATCCAGGCCTGTGGCTCCTTGTACCTCTCTCCCCAACGGGCAGTCAGCCCTGTGCACTGGCTGTTCAGAGACAGGGGTGTAGCCAAACTTTCTTTTTTTTCCTTGCTGTGCCTTTAAGAGCTGCCAGAATGCAAAGAGTCTGGAGGAGGGGTGGGGTCTCCCAACAGGACTTCTGGGAAAAGGATCCTGGGAATTTTTGCCAGAAACTAACTGAGATTCCAAGTCAGAGAATTTGGGGGTGGTTTGTGTTGGGTCAGGCCTGTGATTGGACTGCAGAGTCCACTAGGGAGGAGGAAAGCCGAAGTGAAACACAAAGAGCCAAGGAAAGGGGGGACGCCCTCCCCACCCTCACCCCCGCCCCAATGCACGCTCACCCAGGCCTGCAAGAGGGTGCAGCCACTAGCCTGGAGAGGATCAGTGTGTGTGAAGGGTGATGGTAACCGATGGACCCAAGGAGCCCTCTACCCCAAGTCGACCTGCAAGGCCTCCAGGGACGGGCTTGCCAACAGCTGGACTTGATCACCGGCTTGCAAAGTGAGATCACGCATCTGGTGGAATAACAAGCAGGCTTGGCTCTCCGGCTGTTTTTAGAGGATTTTCACAGCAGTGGCTGGAAAGCAGGAGACCACCACCTGGACCCTTGGGTTTTCTTAGAGAGCACAGCAGAGGAGACTCCACCCCTGGGCGGTTTGCAGGACAATGATGGCCCTTGGGCGAGCTTCTGCTGTCCTGGTTCTGTTCCTGGTGGCTCTTCTGCCCCCACCCCAGTGCGCCCAGGACCCGGGCATGGTGCACTACATCTACCAGCGCTTTCAAGTCTTGGAGGTAGGTGGCATCTGTGCACCTGATCCGGGGTGCAGGCCTCCCAGAAGTCCCCTTATCTCAGCCCAGATTCCCTATCTACTGGGATGCATGTGCCCCACGTAGTCAATGCCAAATATACTGCCAATGTCGCACGTGAGAGTTTTCGTAGTCTAGTGGTTCAGAGCACCAACTCCAGAGTCCAGGCTGTACCACTCCCCAACCACGAGCGGGACTTCACTCCGTGCTCTGATCTAGTGATTTTTCTCATCTGTAGAATGGGGTGATAATAGAATTAACCTCCTATGGCTATTCTGAAGATTTAATAAGTTAATCCATACTTAGGACGTTACCTGGCATGGTGGTAAATGTCCAAAATGTTATTATTCAATAGTTCAGTGTTTTAAATATAAAAATTAAAAATTTCAGGTCACTTTTTATTCATGTTTTACCACATCAAGATGGTAGCAGGTTTTTGCTTTTCTTTTTGTCTTTTTGTGATAAAACATGAGGCCACCGTAAAAAGTCATGATGTTGTACCAAGAAGCTACATCTTAGCTTCTTTGCGGCGCCACGCTTGGGTTTAGAAATGAGTAGATTTCAGCTGCATCAGATAGAAAGTCCTGGGGACGCTTATCCAGGCACGCTTCATTAAAATTTGTAAAAACCCCACATTTTTGCCACACAGACAGGCTCCCAGGGACAAATGTAACCCTCTACCCTAGTCCTTGACATACTCCTGGCAATTATTTCATACCTAATCGCCTTCTATACAAGTTAAATTATTGATCTTCTTCCCAAGACCCTTTTTTCCCCCCAAAGACACTCTTACCTCCAATATTTATTCTCTATATTTTCTTGAAAAATTTTGAAGTCCAAATTAGTTGATCATCTAGTTAAGTAAAATCACTCCAACGATCAGGCTGAACACATTTCCTAACGTTGTCCAGCCAACCAGCTGAGGCCTGGGGGCGGGGGAGGCGACGTTCCGAGGCCAGCTGCTGCCTCACTTGTTGTCTCCTCAGACAGACCCTCCCCAGTGTGCCTCCTTGAAAGTGCCAGAATTACCCTCAACCGCAGTCCCTCTGCCTTTAGCACCGACTCACCCCGGGATTAGCGCCGGCCAGATCCCTGCAGGTTTTCCTCAGGACCTGAAAAGTTGATCTGCAGACAAGGGTATAAAGTACAGACAAGTACTTTGATTGCTATGAATGTGGATTTGAAAAAGATAGGGGTATGGTTTGTATAGATCTTGCCATCCTGGTCAGGATCTGGAGGGGAAGTCAAGTCCCAAGGGTGGTCACTGATGGCCAGTGTGGACGCTTACAAACAAACTGATACAGTCCTCACCCTGACAGATTCGTGTCTGAGGGGTACAAAAGAAATAAGAGGATCTATTTAGGGAGTTTCTCTCTCTCTCTCTCTCTTTCTACCTCTCCCTCTCTCTTTTCCTTCAAAGGGAACAGTCTTACTTACTGCTGTTTGGAGTCTCAATTTTTACAACTTTTATGGAGAGCATTTTGATAGACTGCCAAACGAGCTTTAAGTATACGTCCACTTTGACCCAGTCACCCCATTTCTGGTCTTCATTCACTTTATTCTTTCTTTCAGTAAATATTTATTAAGTACTATATGCTAGGCCCTGTGCCAGGTGCTGGGGATGGAGCTTACTTCTGGAAATCTACCCTAAGATAATAACCAGATAAGTACACGAAGATGTAAATACAAAGATTCTTTTCAGCACTGTTGAAAAGTCCATAAATGTCCATCAAAAAGAGTCTAATAAAATAAATAAAAGGACATCAATGCAATGGAATTCTGTATCATTAAAATTATTGTATAGCTATCTATTAATTAGTATTGAAATATGTTCACAGTGTATTAGCAAGTGAAAATATGTTCCAAAACATTATAGTAAAATCACATTTTAAAATATATATTTATATATGTATGATGAAATGCATGGGAAAACTTTAAAAAACTGATACACTCACAAATCAGTGGTACTTTGAGCTAAGGGATTACAGGTGATTTTTATTTTTCCCCCTTACGATGATTTGTACTTTAAAAATCTTCTTCAGTGAGTGATAGCTATTTATATTACTTGGCTAATTTAAATAATGAGCAATAATTTGAGCATTTATTTTCTGACTGAAGCAAGGACTGGAAAAATGTACCCAAGCAATGAGGGCATACATTCAAGACTTCCAAGAGTTCTCAAAAAACATAACCACTATGCTGGGAAGATGCCAGACCTACACAAGTGAGTATAAGAGTGCAGTGACTAACCTGGCCCTGAGAGTCGAACGTGCACAACGGGAGATCGACTACCTGGAGTACCTGCGAGAAGCTGACATGTGCGTGGAATCAGAGGACAAGACCCTGGCAGAAAAGTTCATCCAAGAGGAGGAAGAAGAGAAGAAGATCCGGACTCTGCTGAATGCAAGTAAGGGAACTGTGTCTTTGACAGCTCTTCTAGGGACTCACATCAGAGACACAGATGCAGCACAGATAGGAGTCTGGCCAAGTAGGAGAGTAAGAACCCAATGTGTGGTTTTGGGTGCAGGTGCTGGGAGAGAAACCTTAGCAGAGAACAGGTGTCTGAAGGAAAAGTCATTCTCAGGGAGCAGCTTTTCATTTCACAGAGAGTTCCTAAAGGCCCCATGGAAGGTCAGAACTTCAGTGTCAGAGGTCAGCCCAGAAAGGGAATCTCCAGATAGCCCTTGGTTTGGAAGAGATGTGTAGTCCCAGATCCTTCCAGGGAGGGTGGAAGGTTGGTGGATTCTCCCAGTACCCTGGGAGTAGGGAGCGGCTACAAATGTGCCAAGAAACAGTCTGAAATTTTAAATGGCACCAGCCAATCCTCAGGGCTGGGGACTGCAGTGAATTATTACTGTGTGTATTGTCACGATGGTGATATTTAGAGGATTTGTCCTAATCAGTGATCCCATTCAAATCACTTCCAGGCCATTAAGAATAATGGTTAGGAGCTCAAATTATAATAACAAGTATCAAGTAAGAAAAACATAAATGAGAAAGAAAATTTCCTATCCATTTTATTAAAACAATGAGGGAGACAAGTTGCCCAGCTCAGAGTCTGTATCCTGAGATGGTTTCATTGCAAATAGGAAAACTATTTATATGTTAATTATATCTGCCCCCAATGCAAGAAACTCCATCAGGGAGGTAAAAGCTGAGTGCCATCATTGTGCCAAAGGTTTCATACATCTTCTCACTGTAATCCTGATAAGAACTCCATGGGTCATTATAAGAAGAAGGGTTTTCCTAAATGAAGTGACACTTGGTCTGAGTTTTGAACAAAGCGTTAGAGAAGAATGAGCAGAGGGCACGTGAGGGGCAGGCACAACCTACTGAAGGCATGCGAGTATGTAACCCTTAGCATGAAGATCTGCAGATATGTCTGAGTGGAAGCTCTGTGGGGCAGGTGCATTTGGGGAACAAGAAACAAGCCTCAAGGGTTCAGCAGGACCCAGATAATGAAAAACCTTGCATGCAAAGCAAAGGGGGTAGAACTTGACTGGAAAAACAAGAACCACTAAACCATTTTCAGCAGGGGCATGACATGAAGGAAGAGGACGAGACTTGAGAAAGACCAGTGGGGGGGCTACTGTAATTTGGAGGACAAGTGATGGTGTCTGCATTGTGTCATTGAGATGGAGAAGGGCAGATGGATTTGAGAGCCATTGAGAGTTGGAATCCCCATGGGTTGGCAACTGATAATTAAAAGTGAAAAATGAGTGAGAAGGAGAAGTCCAGGACACTTTCCAGATTTTTGGCTTAGGTCACTGGGTGATGGGTCTCAAATATGTTGAGATAAGAAACCCAAGAGGAGTTTTGGAGCACTTATTATTCCACTTTTTTTTTTTTCAGAATGCTTATTACTCTGAAATCTTCTAGTTTATTTATTTGCTCACTGCTTATTTTCTGCCTCTCCATCTAGAAGGTCAGCTCTGTGAGAGCCTGGATCCTGCATTTTATGTTCAATGCTGTATCCCAGTGCCTAGAATAGTATCTATGATCAACGCATATTTGTCAATGAATAACTAAGTGAAGAAATGAATGGATAGAGGGAGGTTTGTCAACACAGACAGAGGGGTTATTAGGTTTTGATAGAAAAGAGAACATCTTAATGCTGAGGCAGAAGGCAAAAAGAAGGGTGCCTATCGGAAATATGAAGCAACTGATCAAGTTGGTTGAATGAGTAAACGATTCTTTTTGGCTCTGACGTTGTCTTGAGATGAACCACCCTCTGAGAGGGAAAAAGGAGGAAAAGGGCGAGGGTGATCCAGCAGAGGATGAACAGAGGCTGCCTAAAAAGCTGATGGGAAGGATTGAGTACCAATGTGACCTGAGCTGGAATGTGCCTGAACTTTCATGGCAGGGGTCAGGCAGGAGCCCAGTCCTGAATGGTGATGGTAGGTTAGATCCCTGAGCTGCTCCTCGTCCCTGGAACTGCTAAGCCTCTCAGGTCTTGGGGTCACTCCTTTCATCTCCAGCTGGAGCTCAGCAGAGGTCCTGATTCTGAACTTGCTGCTCTTTCAACCCTTATCCTCTGCCTCATCCCTCCAACACTGGAGGCCTGAAGTATTCCTTCTCCCAGCTCCATGGTGAGTGAAAACTTTCAACTTTCCACGATTGCTACTTCCATGCCTGTTGCCTCTGGAGCCCTCATTTGATGATTTGTTGGTTTAAGATTCAACAAATACTCTTGGCCCCCTCCTACTGGATGGGCCGTGTGCTACACGGTAGGGATAGAGGGCTGAGCACATGGTATCTGCACCCTATGCTGGCTTTCTTTTTTTTAAAGATTTTATTTATTTATTTATTTATTTTTTAAAGATTTTATTTATTTATTTGACAGAGAAAGACACAGCGAGAGAGGGAACACAAACGGGGAGTGGGGGAGGGAGAAGCAGACTCCCCGC